TAACGTTGTATTGTTATGTATAGTCAGATGTTATACATGTTTGAGATGTAACGGAGATGTAATTGGAGATGAGAAACGTTGAAATTGCTATAAATTTCGGTATATCGTCGAGACTCGTTGAAGCATGCCCTTTTCAGAGTATATTTACCGCATCGAAAATTTTAATGAATAGAAAGCGACGTTAAACCGACGTTAACGATTCGGCGTGCCTGGCGTTGAAAAACATCCACGCCGACTTGCGAATGCTTCGCATCGTGAATTCCAACTACACCGAGCGAGCTTTAACAACATTCTTAAGTGGAAGTTAAACGTCGTACTCCCGTGTCTCTCCCTTTGCATCACATCCGAGCCACTCGCGGCGCTCATCGATCAACAAATTAATCTGACGATGAGTCAGAGATGAATCGACCGTCGGCGGAATTAAGCCTTCCGTTATTTATTAAAAGGCAGCGAGCTCTCATTCTGCTTTCCTCCTCGTCGCTTTCCATCGCTTTTATTTAAATGGCGACGCAAACGAACTCGCGAACAACGAATTCAGCCAGTACAGGCAGTTTTTTTTTTTTTTTTTTAATAAGTTATTTTTTTCTTTCGGATTAACATTTGTTTGTTTTACGTGTAACAAATATATCGATTCGTATTGGTGACTTGTTTCAGAGTTTCAGACTTAAACATCTCGCAAGCGATTTTTTAATGCACCAATCAAAAGTTAATGTCTAAATCGCTAAGAAAAGCGTGATAAAAAGATAGGATTGGAGATAGCGATTTTAATGATCATGTATCATAGCAACAAATTGCAATTATTTAATAGCCGAAATATCTAGAAGTGAGGTGGTAGTAAGAAGCGAAGCTGATAGCAATCGGAATCAGCGAATATTTTTTAGCATTAATGTGTTGTTTAAACTTTGTTTATTATTGCGTTATCTTTTATATGTGATTTACTGTGCATCGGAAAAAAAAATGAGCGAAAAAAGATTATTTGTCTATTACGGATTATTGTGGAATCTTGTGAATTTTTGATTATCGAGTTTAGGATAAGGAATTTTGTCGGAAGCGCGAGTTTTGTTATTAATTATTGTATTTATATAGATTTAAACATGCGTTTAAATATTGCGAAAGAGAAATTTACGCGTATGGCCGGAACAGGTGCCAACTTACTTATTGAAATAATTAACCATGTCTTAATGTTAAAGTCTCGCGATTGGTTGCCATTATCAAGGACACGTTGATTACGCTAATTACTCGACGATAAACGAGCGTTAATTGCAACTTGTATAGATCGTCGATTACGATTACGTCTGAAATAGTAAAGATAATATTATACGGATTTACATAATATACACATATGTTCTTCTATATGCATCTCGAGGAAAATCTCGACAAGCTTGCAATTAACTAACGTGAAAGCTTATTTGTTCATAGATGCGTTAAATCAAAATTTAATATATCTATACGAGAGAAAACGCGAAAAAAAAAAGGGAAAATGAGTACGAGAAATGTGAGTCGAATGATTTTTTTTGCTTCCATGTCGGCAACATTTTATTAACTCGTACGTTAATAAGTCGATTAAAAATTTAAAATTATGTAAAATTAAAGAATATCAAGGTTATTATATACACATATACACATATATATATTATATATGCGTTAATGAGTGAGGGGTGAAAATTTTATGTCGAGTACATAATTAAAAGGCCGTGCCGCGATTTTCAGGCTGCATGATATTATTATCATTGTCATAAAAGAGAGAGAAAGGGAGAAGGCATCGACCAGCGTTGTTCCGAGAGAACTGAGCAACTTAAATGTATCTTTATGTGTAAATTGACATAAAGACAGCTACATTGAGACTCGCATGCCGATGAATTGATGAGAGGCGGACGGGAGGAAGAATCAAAGCGGGGAATGTCGCATGCGTTTTCAAACGTATACGTATCCCACAAAGGTCACACGTGACACACAAAAGACTGACGTAGCGAGAGAGGAAAGGCTTCTAAACTCGGCTTTTTATTCGAGGATTTTGTTGTAGCGTTGATCGAAGTATCTTAAAAAGAACGTATTTGCAATACAAACAAAAATTATGTGAACCTTGTTAACTTGAAATTATCGCTTGAAAAGATTGCTC